TTAATTAATTATATCAACTAATTATTATAAATTATTATAAAAATATTATAAATTATACTATATTAACTATATCAACTAAATAATAATATTATATTAATAATAGTTTTCAATCATAATATCTCTGATATATAATCTATAGAATTTCGATTTTCTTTTAATATTCTTAATTTTTCATATTATTCAAATCGTGTTCTCATATAAAATAATCAATGAAAATTTATGTTCTTTTTATATTTATAGATTATTGTTTTATATATTTTAGAACTATTTTATTATTTAATTTAATTAAAGCCCGCTCGAATATCTTGAATAAAAACTATTTTTTAATTCTGTCTATAGCTAAGTGAACAAAGCTTGTTTAGCTTTAATTAAGTTTTATACTATTAACTGATATTGTGTTTCGCAAATTCAAATATATTTTCCAAATATACTTTTTCATTTTCATTTTTTTCTCGAATAATCGAATCGTGATTGTGACCAACAACCCAGATATTTATATTTTGATGCTTAATATTTAATAAATGTCAGAAAAATTTGTATATATTTTGCTTGTCAAAGTTTTGAAATTATAAAATTACCAAAGATGAAAGAAAAAACATTTTTCAGATAATAGTCATATTGCTATATTAAATATTTTCGAAAGATTTATAATTAAATATTTCGACGAATAGTAAAAGATGAGTTAATTTTTTTGAATCCTTATATTGAGATTATGTCGAAATAAGATTAAGAAATGAGAGAGCTGTAAAAGGAAGAAAGATTCTTCTCAATTATAGACTTATAAAATCGGTTGATTACCGATTGCCACATTTTATTAGTATATATAAATTTAATTATTGATATAGAATGTAGAAAATTTTATGATCAATCTTAATTAATTTATTAGAATTTTCTAGAATTTAATAATTCTTTTTTTCTTATAGAATTATTATATCTGCAAAAAATTATTAGAATTTAATTTCTAAATTATAAAATTCCATACAGATTCTAATATCATAAATTTTATGAAAAATAATTTTGATTCATTTATCCAAAACTTTCACAAAATTCTATATAAATTAGAAAATATAATAAGAAAATGAAAATGAAATAAATAAGTATTCATTTCATTTCGTTATTATATAGTTGGTTAAAAAATCCGCGTTTCAAAACTACATTCCATCAAATTACGGAAGCATATAGACTCGACATTATGTTCTCGCAGGTAACAGGGCTATAGTAGATGTATGTTGCAATGATACAACGTGACTCAATGAAATGTTTGCGTCCACAAACTTCTCAAAGTTCATCGAAAGTTTATTGGAACAAAGTAATAATCCACGTTTGCATGACGTCTTATATATCCTTTCGTGGTTTTGTCAACACTCATAATATCTTACAATAGAGTCGAATCGAATCTCAATATCGACGTGCTTGCCTCGAACTACGAGTGAAAGTTACGTGGTGGCAAATCTGATGCCGACGAGAGAGGGTGCAGCGTTTTACAGGATAGTTATACGTGACATTTAGACGATGGCCTCGTATGTATGGTATATGATACGCGTGTAGGTATACATTATACTAACTAAAAAAATTAGCGTTCAAATGCATATCAAATGAAAATAAACTTTATCAAAATTAACTTTGTTGTGATAATCATTGAAACAATAATAAAATTTTTATAGAATTATTTATATCTATTTTATCCATATTTATCTAATTTATCAGATATCTCAAAAATAATCAACAATTAATCATAATTTTTGAATCAAAATTTAGAAATGCAAACAATATAGCATATAAATGATTTAATAATATGATAATAATTAATAGTAATTTATTAATGTATTAAAATATCATCTTTTTATAAAAATAAACGATCATTATCATTTTTGATTATTTATATATAAAATAGTATGAGACAAACAATAATATACTTTGACTAAAAATTAAAATTTTAAGATTTTGATATGAGATATATAAAAATCAAATTGATTATTTTTATCAAGATATTATTACATTTTTATTATTTCTCAACAATTCTCTTTTGATCTTTTACGATTTGAAAGAAAAAATTTCTCTATTGATTATATCTAAATTTGTTCCTCAGCTTTGCAATAAGATTTGAATTACAGTAACTACTTTATTGCTTGTTTTAATCTGAATTACTTTTGACATAATTTGGATATGTATTCAAGATAACTGTAATAAATGTAATAAATTTGGTTAATCCAATCCATTCAAGGCCGTGATCTTATTATAAAACAATCCCCAGAAACTGGTACATTTTCAATTTTTAATTACCTTGGTTTTACTTAAATGTTACTTGAACTTCAAATATTTACTTTGTCGATTTAAATATTATTACAAATCGGTAGAAAGTAATTTCTTTCAGCAATACATATAATATATTGATGCATAGAATGCATTTCATTCGTTAATAATCTTTAAAACGATAAAATCGAAAATTAAAATTATATATTAATATACGTATCTTTTTAAATTGATTCATAATTTTTTAAAGATATTGTATACTTGCAAATAGTGATGTTTCTGCATATTTTTGAGTACATAGGACACCAGTTTACCTTTACCTTTTTCACAAAATTCAAACTCATAGCCTCGAGGAAAAACCTGATTTTTGTTTACGTCCATGGAATTCTAAGTGGAGAATTTATTCGATCCACGACGAAAATAACTCGTTCAATCGTGTAGGAATTCGTTTATGATTCATCTTTTTACTTTGGTTTTCCTTTCACCAATTTGTCACTTGTTTTTTTTTCGATTTGATTTGGTAAATATATATTCCAAACGACATTTCAAATCTTTCTTTAAGTGATTTTAACTTTTAGTTTAAAGACAAATTTCTTTTTATTCATCTATAAATTTTTATTCCATTAAGTTAGTACTTTCTATTTTGTTACTTATTATTTTTCTATAAACATCAAAATAACATAAAACTTTAATTCGTTAAAACTATAATTAATTATTATTTCAATAAACAACAAATAAAAAATAAAATTAATTATGAGATTTATTGTCGATTGAAAAATGCTATAAATAAATTTTTTCTAGTTGAAATAAAAAGCAATAAACGATACATAAAATCCATATCTATCTAGAATATTTGTTAACTTCCGTTATATTTATGAATATTTAGTAGTGTGTTTTAAGATTTGCAAATATATATATCTATTAAAGCTAGATTTATCCACATTTTTTCTCAAATGAAAAATTTGATATATTTAGGATATCCTCCATTACAAAATAAGATGAATAGAAAATGAAACAACTATGTTCTAATTGTGGTTGCAATCAAAGAACTTAGAAAAGAATTATATAAATTATATATATATATCATATATCAGAAGGATCATATATGATTCAAGGAAAGGAAGGAAATCAATTATATTAGATTTATTTCTGTATATACGTACCGTTAGCATTTCTCGTCGATTTCTTGGATTAATCGAATCATTTTGTGTCAGTAGAACGATTATATTGTAATTATATTCGTTCTATATTCCAGTTGTTCGACTTCATGAAGATCAAATGCATTATAATAAGTTTTCAGATTTATATAAACTGAATCTTTTCATATCAGTAGGTAAACAATCAAATTATTTTAAAGGAGGAAATCAATTCAATTTGATTGATAATTGGAAAATAATATTTGCAATACTGACTTTAATAAGATAAACGATTTCAAATTATTAATAAATTCAAAATATATTCAAAATGATTATCTATTTTTTAGTATTTTTTTTCTTTTAATAAACTAAAATTAATAATAAATTAAAATTAATAATAAATTATTGTTTAACAAAAAAATGTTATTTAATAATAAAAAATTTTTAATAAATCTTTTTTTTAAACTTTTTTTATTTTATTAAAATTATAAATTTTAATTATTAATGTCTCTTTATTCCAAATTATGGAATGTAAATGATTTAATCAAACTTTAATCAAATTTACAAAATAATATTTAGAGATAAAATGTTAAAACTATTGATATGCATAAATTCTATATAAATCTGCGAATATCTTAAAAAATGTAATTATTAGAAGATTATATATATAACAGTTTTAGTTTAGTTAATATTCATACAAAGTTTAAATAATTGAAAAACTAGCTATAATTGAATATTAACTGTATAAATTAGAATAAATTGACTTATTTCTGAGTTTACTTTTCCAATTAGTTCAACATATCGAAAACATGTCAATATCTATAAGAAAAAAAATCATGTTAATACCTGTATAATAGGAAATAAGTACTCGAATAAACTCGATTATTATCAATTTCTTATCTATGAAGTACATAATTTAAAAACTAGAATTCTACGATTATTCAATAATTCACTTATCTTGATTGTATTATGCCTGTATTGATAAAAAATAATAATAAAAATAAAAAATTAATCATATCATAAAATGATTCAATATCAATTTTGATGACGTTATGATTTAATAAATTTTAATGCACAAATTAAATAACAATTTAAATTATATATTATTAAAATTACATTATTATTAGCATATTGAGATTTTTTAATTATGTTAAAATAGTATTAATCTTCATTATCATATCGCAAAATTATTAGAAATATAAGACCTTTGAATATCTAAATATATAGTTGAAAAGATAGACAAATATATAAATATTTAGAAACATACGAATCTGAAAAGTCTCATTATATAATTCCATTCCAGAAATTCCAGAAAAAAGAAACAATATGTTATTGCCGTATTAACTATATTATCTTTTATAGATTTACTAATTCTTTGAATTGAAATTAAAAAATCGGGATAAAAGCTTGATCGTTAATGAGGAATTACTTCTCTAGATAAGTGGGATCAGACTTATCTAGATTTAAAATCTAAAAGAAAATTTTTGTTTTTCCTTTTTTCTTTTTTGCAGATCATTTTTAGGATGTTTCTCTATCAGAAACTTATCGACGATTACAGTAAAGCGCAATCTAATCGTGACGTGATCGTTCGATCGTCTATTGTCGGGTCGGCACGAAATCAAATTACATTTACGCGCCGATGCACTACTATGCTCGCGATTGTTTCGCTTTTCGTAAGTTTCTTCCCGGTGACAGTTCCTCGATTGGTGATCTTTTTTCTTCGTATTTATTCATCGTATCTTCCTTAGTGGTAATGGGTGGTAGGTTCAGCGATTCAATTATCTTATATCATTACAACAATGTATATTACTCGAGTGCACTAAAGATACAGTTATTTATTCTTATTCATCGTTATCAAGAGATGTTTGATACTTAAAACAAAGGTAGAAAAGAAATTAAAGAAAAAAAATTATGAAACTCGATTACAATTGATAGAATTGGAAATTTTATTTTCGAAAGTAAAGCAAAATAATCGTTAAATTAACTACATGATAACGAGAGAGATAAGCTATAAAATATTTACTAATTTGTAAATTTTATTACGATATATGATTTCTTATGAATTTCAATATAATCTGTTTCGCGATTATCATTGGAAATATAAAAACAATACATATCATTTTGTATCAATTCATATAAAAGAAAATTAACAAAGTAATCTATGTTGTACACTTGATTGTTGATTTTAAGTGCATTTAATTCTCTCTAATATTTTATAACCTATTTTTATTGTAAAGAGATTTAATTTTTATATTAAAAAAATTAATTCGCATTCTAATTTTGTATCGTATGACAATTAGAATTCAAAATATATATAAATGTATTAAGCTTAAATACTGTGGCGAATCGTGATAGATATTCTATTTCAGTGATTTTTTTTTAGTTTTAGTTTATCATATTACGCTATGATTTTTTAAATAAATTTTTTCCAAAACAAATTCATTTATTATAAAAACAAATTAAAATTATTACTTTAAATTAATCATACCTAATATAATTAAGAAAATATTTTAATGCAAATAATTTTATTTCTTATTTCGACTACTATATTATTTATACTATTGCGCAAAACTGTTTTCATTCACTATTTTATTGAAACTGAATTATGAAAATCGATTATCGCATAGATCGCACACTTGCTTTTTAATCGAAGATAACAACGCCATCTTTTCAAATTCGATACTTTAAATTTGCGCATGTGTGATTAATTATCGATAGTAATCGAATCATCGTCCGATAAAATATTCTTTAACAATTTTATACAATGTATTGTGATTATCGATGAAAATCAATTTAATATCAAATATTTTTTATATTTTTTATTCTCAGATTTTCGTTTTTTAGAAAAAAGCATAGAATAGACAAAATGGATATTGCAGAACGCACGAGACATTCTAACAAACATTTCGTTCGATCTCATGTACACGTGAGCTTTCCCTTTCACTTATGCGCATGTATGGCGAATTATACCTGTTTTCATGCACACGTCTCTTTTCTCTGTGTAGGTTCGTTCACGGGCGACGACTTTTTGCATTTTTGTAATGGCATACAGACTTCGAGCACGAACTCTCGTATCGATGCGAATACACTATAAAATTTATTCAAAGCAGAATGATTGGAATTTTGAGTTGATTCGAAAGTTTCGTATAATTTAACTGAATAAATCATTGAAAAAAAACAGGAAAAAATGTGAAATTTCTTTTATTTGAATTAAGCAAGAAATCTACAATGATTGAATGTTAAAGCTATCCTGAGTAATAAATGTAGAAGAATTGATTATTTGTCGTGTGCTTTATTTCTATTAACTAGTATTCTATGTTGTAAGTTCTATATTTTATTTATATCTTATAATGATACGTTAGATATAACATATAATATGTTTATAGATATATTTTTCTGAATTATTCTGAATTTTCTGAATATTTTTTTGCATTAATTTCGAAATATGTTACAATAAATGACTGCTACATTTTTAAATTAAATGAATTAAATATTTTATAACAGAGAATGCATTTATAATGATTTTCACTGAAAATAAATACATTTATTTTTAGTTAAAATTAGTTATGGTTATAATTAAAATACTTAAGTAAAAATTAAAGTACAGTTAAACAAATTTTAGAAATCTTGTATGTAAGTGATTTAAAAGTTTATAATATAATATTATATAATTTTTTCCAAATTACATCCAATGAAATTATCATTGTTGATGTATAAAAAATTTATCATTTTTTTTTTCTTAGCTAGATAAAGGAAATCAATGAAAAGATTTATTAATCGTTTAAAAACGATGTGATTATTAAAATAATTAATTTTAATTGCTAATCTCGAATATTCAATGTTTCTAATAAAAAAAAGTAAAAACGAAAATATTGAAATTTTAAAAAAAATATTTATATTTAAAGTATACAAAATATTTTCAAATATGATACAAATTTATCAGATGAAAAATTATAAAATATTATAAAATATTTTTTTTTTTTCTAGGAATATTCGCGTATCTCAATTATCTGACACCAAAGAGCAGAAAGGAAATTCTCGAGTTCCTGGTTGGTGGTTTAAAGAGATTGGAATATCGAGGCTATGATTCGGCAGGTATAAATGAATTATTGATAATATATCGATAGCTTTCTTTCGACTATTCTGTTTCTGGGAATAGAAAACTAATGAATATTCGATAAAAGAGATACTATTCTATGCAAGTTTTATATCCTTTCCAGGTGTTGCACTTGACAGCGCCGATGGCAAGGATATCTCAATTATTAAAAAGCAAGGAAAAGTCAAGGCTCTCGAAGAAGAGATTTTTTGTAGTAAGTACATGTTTTTATTTTTTATTTTCTATTTATAATTCAATAATGCATCTTATTATAATGAATAATGAAAATCTAAAAAATAAATTAAAATAAATTGAGAAATCTTATTTTTCTTGAAGAAAATTAAAAATTTTGTAAAATTTGTAAAATTTCTTCGCAAAACTTTCGCTTTATAGTGAGGAATTAAAAAAAATTATCTAATATAAAATATCTAATATAAAAGTTTCTGCATTCATATTAATTCAATTCATCAAGATATTAGATATTATAAAAAGTATTCAATAAAATAAAATTCCTCGTGAAAATTGTTCACACTCGATGAATTCAAATTCTTTTAACTTCTTTTTATAACTTCTTTTTTGAATTCAGTTTCTTTATTCGTCCTATGTGAGATCATACTTGAGAATAACGAAAGATAAAATTGATTAAAATTCATTATTTCTTTATAGATACTGATATTGACTTCGACTCAAAGATTCATAGCCATGTTGGTATTGCACATACTCGTTGGGCGACTCATGGTATCCCATCGGAAGTAAATTCGCATCCTCAAAGATCAGATACTGATCATGCTTTTGTGGTTGTACACAATGGTAAGAATATTATTTGATGCTCGGTAATTATTAGAAATTATTGTCTCCATTGTTTTGTTAAAGTCACGTTTTCTATAAAGGCATCGTGACAAACTATAAAGAAGTGAAGACGTTACTCCAGCAAAGGGGCTACAATTTCGAGAGTGAAACCGACACGGAAGTAATCGCCAAGCTCATTCACCATCTTTGGGTGCAGCATCCTGGTTACTCGTTTCGCGAACTGGTCGAGCAAGTTGTTCAACAATTGGTGAGTATTGTTACTATAACATGCAGATTATTAATTATCATTGTTTGAACAATTGAAAATTTTATCGCAGACTATGAATTACAATTGTTTGAACAACTGTAAATTTTATCGCTTTGTATTAGGAGTAATTATTTAAACAACTGCAAATTTTATCGTTTAATACAAAATATTATAATATTGATTTTAATAATAATTATATCAGAAAGAATTTTAAAAATAAGTTAGGAAAAGAATTTAATTTAAAAAAAAATCACATTATTAGATTATTAAAAAAAATTGAAATTTTAGGAAGGTGCATTTGCTCTGTGCTTCAAGAGCAAATATTTTCCGGGCGAATGTGTGGCAACGAGAAGAGGATCACCACTTCTTGTGGGTATTAAAACAAAAACAAGATTGGCCACTGATCATGTACCCATCTTATATGGAAAAGGTAAGTCGGCGGATGTATTCGAATCGACATTGAAACGCATTTTAATTGAAATATTAGCGTGTATTTGAAAAAGGTATAAAGATTTGGTAAATCTTAAAAAAGATCACAAGGCTATCTCGCTCAGGCACCGAGAGCTACAATTTAAAGTGATATTGATAACATTGGTATGAGAGATGGAAATATATGCTTTTTTATTTTAATTTTTAAATATTTATCATATCCAAAGAAGGTGAATTAGTGATATTTCCTTTGTCAGGTTAATTATCCCTCTTCTATCTTCTTGAAAGGAAATTGCTATGTGATAATACTATGGTGAAAATATTCTAAAAATAACTATGGTCTCTTTATGTATCAACTCTAAGGATTAAATATGAGGTATATTAATAGCATGTCTTCAATTTAAAGCTTGTCTATTCTTTAAAGTAATTAACGCGAAGCAACATACTAAGTCGCATCATCATCATTCTTTTTTATGTTTTTCTTTAGTGTTTTCAATAGCGACATAAATTTATGTTGAATAAAAATCTTTGTTTAACAACGATTAACAAATAAATTATACTAATGCAAAGTATTTTGTGTTTATTGCTATCTTTTATTTAAAGTATTTAACATGAAATTGTGAATATTAGATTTTTTTCATAGCTGCTTATATCGAACAATATTTTGAATTAATATTTTATTTTTGAATAGTAATGAAATATCAATTATCCAAAATAATAAGAATATAAATTTATTTATTAATAGATTTTCAGTTTATCAGCATTTCATATAATTTCAAAATCTTATTATATGGAAGAAAATTTATAGAAAATATTTAATATAAATCAGTTATTCAAATAATGTGATATACATATAATTTGTAAGATATTAATATATTCATTTTGTATTCATATGATCAATTCTTTGGATAACTGATATTTTACTATATTATAGTTATATTTGAGCACATTATTATTAGATGATAGCATGTTATTCTGCAAAATAGTGTTGTTTATATAATATTTGTTCATTCAAATTATATTTGTTATTTGTTTCTTTTTAAAAGTCAATTAAACAGTCGCTGCATGTATTTATAGATACTATATAATGTTTCTTTTGCATGAACACCAATGGTTATGTTCTTCTCAACTTTTCGTCTCAACAGATGAATCTCCATGCGTAAGCAAAGGTATATACACTACTCTACACTATTCTACACTTATCTCACTTTCTTTTCAACTTTGGACCTTTTATCTTTATATAATAATTTATATTGAGAAAAGATATTTTAAACTATTTATATTTTTAACTATTGTGCAAAAGGTCCATTGTCTGAGAAATGCATGCAAACTAATTTTGCTTTTTTTATTTTTATTTTTATTTTTAATGTATATTTTACAAAATTTTTCCGTGACATTATTTTATATATCATAATACTTACATATTTTATTTATGTTTTCATGAAATCTTTTGTAATCGAATATTTATCGTTTTATCTCTAACAAGAATAATATTCTTTCTCTTTTTTGATTCATTCCATATATTTATACATATTACTTAATTACAGGAAATCATTATAAAAATACTTTAATTTGCTTTGAAGCATAGCAAACGAAAAAGATCATAGTCATAAAAATTTGCAAATTATTTTGCAATACAAATAAAATTCATTTTTTTCTCCAAATCCTCGGCAGAAGCTTATGCATTGAAGCTTTGTGATTAAAAGAACATGTTTGATTGCATACAAGAATTTGTGAAAAGATATCTAATGGATTTTTATAAACATTATTCAATGAAAATTGTTTTCTTAAATTTCTTTTAATAAATATATATTAAATGTCTTTTCTCAAATTTTCTATACAAACTAGATTTCGTATACAATTGATTCATATAACGAATATAGCGTGTGCATCATGTTTTCTTATTTTATTTTCATGTCACTATATTTTGTATTGCTGTTGTTACTGCATTACTTGTTTGCTAATTATTTTGTTTTCTTTTTCGTCACCTCCCCCGCATCCAAATTTGAGCAGAAGGTGAAGCGCCGACACAAGGTAATACTTTATAGTCATATATGTCTCTTTTTCCTTCTGCTTGCCATCGATCCATTCATAATCACGCTTTTAAAGCAACATGCTAAGATGTTGCTAGTTTCATAACCATCACGAACCATCTGGAATTGGATTGCTACACGCTAATCTTATGGAATTTAAGGAAATGGCACGTGCCTTACTTTGCTTGTCAGTACGTATACAGAATGTATTTTCTTACAATATAAAAAAAAAGGACAGAATATATCTAACACGATAATCTTCTTCGATAGATATTGTTTTTCCTCTTCTTTTTTAATTATTAATTAAACGGGTGTTTTTTTTTCTTCTCCTAGGATATTCCTTTTTCTTCTTCTTTTTAAATTACTGAAATATATGAAAAACGTTTCATCATTTGGTTGTTTATCACAACAATTAATGAGGTTGCATTTTATATATACATGTTAATAATTGTACTTTTCCAATCGCTTTGTTATTATAATCGCCACGGTCATGTTATGAGTTTCATCACTCTTGTTATTGTCATTCCACGAACATTTAATTATTTAATATCGTTTATTAATTAAAAGTACATTGGATAATTAATTACATTGCTGCGATTTATACGTATTATTACTTATCACGTTTCCGGCTAATTTGGTGTGGGGCTTGTAAAAACAAAGAAATGGCAGGATGTAATCAATTATGGATATATTCCTTAATGCTCTCTTAATTCAATTGCATCGTGCTATTTTTGGTATATCAACCACGCCTTTTATTCGAAGAGTTTAAGTTTTATGTATAAATTTGAATTTAATCTCTAAATTATGTTTAAGTTCGAAAACTGTACTCCATATGATATCATGGATCATTAATAATTAATCAAAGATGGTTATATATCATATTGGATTTGTGAATTTATAAAGTGTTCATATGCTATAAATAATGGATATTTGATATATTTCAATAGTATAAAGAAAATTAATTTTTTCTTCTTAATAGATCATCGTCCGCATGGCCGAAATACTGAACTTCCGGTGATACCACGCAGCGAGAGTACTTCCGAATTTCAACCATTGGAAGATAAAGAAGTCGAATATTTCTTTGCTTCTGATGCCAGTGCTGTGATCGAACACACAAATCGTGTTATATTTCTGGAAGTAAATAAATTTTTTTGTTCATTAATTAATATAAATATTTTTATTTCAATAAGTAAATAAGTAAATTAATGATCAATAAATTAAATCAATAAATGATGATAATTTTACTCAATATCAGGATGATGATGTAGCTGCCGTGAAAGAAGGTGCTCTTAGCATTCATCGACTTCGTCGATGCATGGATGATCCTCATGCAAGAGAAATTACTACGTTGAAGATGGAAATCCAACAGATCATGAAGGGTAACTATCAATATTTCATGCAGAAGGAAATCTTTGAGCAACCTGAATCAGTGGTAAACACTATGAGAGGACGTTTGAATTTCCAGGATAATTCTGTCACGTTGGGAGGTATTAAAGTAAGTTTATGACAATTTGATTTTTCTTCAATTTTTTTTTAATAGAAATTAATTTAATTTAGTTTACTATTAGGATTACATTCCTGAGATCAAAAGATGTAGACGGTTGATGCTTATTGGCTGTGGAACAAGCTATCATTCTGCTATTGCTACTAGACAACTTTTGGAAGAATTAACTGAATTGCCAGTTATGGTTGAATTAGCTTCTGATTTCCTAGATAGAAACACGCCAGTATTTAGAGATGATGTTTGTTTCTTTATCTCACAATCAGGTAATGAATATTATAATTCATTTATTTATTGATTTATGTGAAATAATATAATTTATTTTTATTATTTATAGGCGAAACAGCAGATACGCTAATGGCTTTACGATATTGTAAAGGACGTGGAGCTTTAATAGTCGGTATTACCAATACTGTAGGCAGTAGTATTTGTCGTGAATCACACTGCGGTGTTCATATAAATGCTGGTCCTGAGATTGGTGTTGCCAGTACAAAAGCTTATACCTCTCAATTTATTTCTCTTGTAATGTTTGCTTTGGTTATGAGTGAAGACAGAATTTCTCTTGGTAATAGACGTCAACAGGTATTATTAATTTCTTAATTAATTTTTTTATAAATTTTGAATAATATAATACGTTACAATACGTTATTCTTGCATTTAACAGATTATTGAAGGATTAAAAAATTTGGATAATCTTATTCGTAAAGTTCTTCAACTTGATAGTAAAGTCAAAGAATTAGCAAAATCTTTATTCCAACATAAATCCTTGTTGATTATGGGTAGAGGATACAATTTTGCGACGTGTATGGAGGGTGCTCTGGTACATCTAAATTTAAAATGTGATGTTTTTAAATTATTATGAACGTATTCATATTATAATTTTACTTTTTTACTTACAGAAAGTTAAGGAATTGACGTATATGCATAGTGAAGGTATTATGGCAGGCGAATTAAAACATGGTCCTTTAGCACTTGTAGATGATTCAATGCCAGTGATAATGATCGTTATGAGAGATCCAGTTTATATAGTAAGTAGAATTCTTGAGATAAATTAATTTTACTTGTGATTAATGTAAAATGTGGTAATAATTATCTCATAATTTTTTTTAGAAATGCATGAATGCTTTACAACAAGTTACAGCACGAGATGGTAAACCAATTGTTATCTGTGAAGAAGGAGATAGTGAAACGAAAATGTTTGCAGATAAAGTTCTTGAAGTACCTAAGACAGTGGATTGTCTTCAAGGAATTCTTACTGTTATTCCAATGCAACTTTTATCTTTCCATATTGCAGTTCTTCGTGGATGTAATGTTGATTGTCCAAGAAATTTAGCAAAATCGGTCACGGTTGAATAAAATTTCATTTAAGAACATAAGGGATTTATTTCAAATATTGTTATTGTTAAATATTGAATTTGAATTGAATTTGAATTATAAAAAATAATACGGCACAGAAGAAATTTTCGAAATAATATGAAATTGTTATCGATTACATTTTGATACGTTTTTAAATACTAAATATCGTATTAAAGTACGAATAAGATAAATGCAATTGTATTTATTTCTTGTATTTGTGAACGTGTTAGAAAATATTTACAGTTAGCTATTAGTCTTTATATTAATCTTATTAAAAAACAAATACTTTTTAGTAAAATCAATGAAGAAGTTCCTTACATGGAACTAAATTAATTGACTTTCCAGAAAATAATTCCAGTGCATTTAATAATTGTATATATTTATACCAATTAATAAGAAACAAAAGGAAAAATATATAACGCTTTTCAGATTATAAATAAAATGTAATTCTATTTCTTATAATCAAGTTGAATAAGACTGCAGAAAAAGAAGAATTGTATCGTGATCTTATGCTACGATATTTACATGTGATTATTCTGAAAAATGTTCATATGTGCGTATGCAGATGTGTATATTTCATAAATTTCAATCGAGATAAAAAAAACAAACAATAATGGATTAGGTCTAATAGAAAATTAAACGATTGAAAGAAATAATAATAATTTATGTATATGATAATCGTATTTTTTACTTCATAGTAAAATATGATTTTTATCATATGCTTTGAAAAATTTCTATTTTGTACAGTATTTAAGACAGGAACAAATATGAAATGTTTTTACTTAATAAATATCTTCGATTTTGCTACGAAAAATATATATGAGAACAACTTATAAGTAAATTTTGTTACTGATGTAATATATTCATGTTTAAAAATGTTGTAAAATTTACGGATTTTATCTATAATATATGTAGTAAAACTTTGATGTTCCATCTTATAGCTGTAAAAAATTTCCGGTTTCTTGTTTGTTGACTAAATATAATAGAAAAATAAATGTAATTTTTATATTGATTAGTTGAGGTGTTGGAAAAATAACATAATCGTCTGTAATTTACTTATAAGGTCATATATAATATCTTTTAAAGTATATTAAGCAACAAATAAACTTTTAGAAGATATAAATATAAATATATATATATATATACACACACACACACACACACACACACACACACACACATATATATGTTATTCATATCAAATTATAATATGTGTTCAACAAAATGCACATGGATGTACATTTTTTTTTAAATATAATCACAATTAAAATGTAAATGTATTGAATAAATTGTTAAAGAAAAATATAAAAGTATATTATATAAAAATTTTATACTTAATAATATTAATATAATGTCTTAATTTTAATATTGTCTTGGCAATATAGTTAAAATTCATATATCATATAGAAGTTTGTACATCTTTTAATTTCTTTAGATCTATGCTTGCATCAAGTGTACACGAGTATCGTTCTAATTGGACGTGCGCCAAAAAGTCGATCGAAGTGATACCAAAGCTTCGTTTGGACGGCGTATGCGTCAGTAGTAAATCTCGTGTTTATGTCGGACATGCGAAATTGAGTCAGTGCGCGATATCCCGTCTAACCAGCGACGGTACGCAACTACTTTCGATTATTCGTAACGTGAGAACGTAAAAGAAATCGGTGTCAGTTTTATTTGTTCGATATTACAAGAAACGATCATAATTTCATCAATACGAGTTTATTTTTTGATGGATTGTATTTATTAAGTGGAAATAAATATTCTTTTACAAACTACGCTGCTGCGTATAGTTGCGCGACGATCGTTGCGTTGACGAGGAAAAAAAAAAAATAGAATAAAAAGTAAATTATACATGAAGCGTGATCTTAAAAAATTAGCCGCGTGATCGAGCATAATTCCAGGTGCTAAATTTAAATGTGTTGTCTCGATCCCCTTGGGTTATTTCATCGAGGTTGGCTGCGCTCGAACGGTTTGCTAGCAAAGCTCTATCATCAGCCCTGCCAGCAGTGGTATCATTGTTGATCGTCGTTACCAGATATATACGTAGTCGTGGTCGCCATTGCCGGCGGTAGCGGCACTGTGAACACCGCCTGCGCCATCGCGAGCTACCACCACTACGCGAGTCAGTCGACAGTCTGCCGGCGAGCAGTGCGGACGCGTCGTGAAAGAATTTAGTCATCGTTGCTCGCAAGTATTTGCTGGCACGACCGCGATTTGCCCCACCGTCGGTGCTACGGTAACACACGGCTCCCGTGGACAAAACCATTTCCCCTCTACCCGGCCCGACGACCCTCCCTTCCGTCGGTTACCCGGTGTTCTACCAGCGCCGCGGCAGTTCCCCTCTATTGATCGAATTTGACCTGCGAAGTTTCCCCTAGCGTGTGCAGTAGTGGCGGCCGGCAGTGGCTCTCGCGCTTACGTTCCTCGGTTAGTGCGGTAAATAATCGCGATACCTCGGCATGGCTACTCCGACCGCTTGCACGCGGTTTAGTGACAATTACGAGCTCAAAGAGGAACTGGGCAAGTAAGTACAAAAAAAAAAAAAAACATTCATAATATTTAAAAGTAACGAATATGAACTGAACGAAGATGAAGAAAGAGAGACAATGAGAGTTTGATTTAACGTTACCGCGTGTCACGTTTACTTCGTTTTTTTATTTCGTACACACATTTCATATCTCTTTGTCTTTCTTGTCTTTTCATCCTCTTTTTCTTTCTCTTATGTACTTTTATTTCTTAATTCATTTTGATTTGTATTACACACGAACCTGTATCGTAATATGTATAAGCATTTCGTATATTTCATATATTGTGATGTATTTCGTATCACTGATCAGTGGCGGCATTTGTTGTGCGGTATTTAGATGGACCCGCGAATGACGATCAGTTTAGAGCGCGATTTTACTAGCAGACGACGCCGTGTTGTCGGCCATGATTATTCTCTACGTACGCAGAGTCTCTTTCTTCTTTAGCTTTTTCCTACTTCTGTTGGTCGTCCGTTTATCATTCTCTTTTTCTCCATTCTTCTTTATCTCGTCGTTTCATGTCCCTTGCTTACACGCGGGAGACACCCCGTTGCATTTCGTCTATATTTAAGCACGGCCTGTCTGCTTGTGGCTCAGACTCTATATATAAAGCGTCAGGGCGCTTGCTATCGTGCCTTGTGCTGTCGTGGTGGTCTCACCGTCGAAAACGAAGCATCCGCATCGTATGCGGATCTGTCATCAAATCAATACGATGTCGTCGCGCCGCTTTTTACCTTCATCCCCCTCCTCGACATCTTTCTCACACTCTTGTTCCTTTTCTTTCTTCATTTTATTCGTGATCTCTTTTTTTCATTCGTTCATCTCTTTCGTCTATGTCCTTATTCGATCGACTGCTTTCTTTTTATTGTTCAATGATATTCTCTCGTGTTCGGCTGTGTAACGGCAGGTGGTTGTAATCTTGCATGACGTTGTCCTAAAAGTTGCCAGCATTTTGTTTCCTTCTCTTCGATCACCTATTTCTGCAATATGATTTATTCGTTCGATGCTATATTCTATAGTAAGAAAGTCACGTTTCGATACTATTTTTATTAATATTTATAATTTTTAATTACTATTTTTGAAATGTGTTATTACTATTTATTACGTTATTCTTATTAAGAATTATTCGATAATTTCTTAATAAAATTATCGGGAAATAAGTTAAAACATCATGCGGTTTTTTTTAGGTTAGGAAAGTTTTGATATAGATAGTTTCAATAGAATATCGATATCGTTCATCTTCTATCATTCGTGATCTCGAATGATCTCGACTCACAATCACGAAAGTTTTTTTGATTCGTAAATCGTGCATACGAGAAAAGAAAATTTTCTGACCACACCCCGTATCTTTTTGGGAGAGTTCGTGGTACGGTCGATAAACACGGAGCGTAGAGCACGCGTAGAGCACGCGTAGAGCACGCGTAGAGCACGCGTTACACAATGTCACCTGCTCGATTCAGTTTGGAATATTTTATTATTCCCTTTCTTCTCTTTAAATCGTACAATTAAAAGCAAAAATAAATATTTTTAATTCAAAATTTTTTTAATATACCGTAATTATTAAAGATTATGGATTGTTTCATATTAAAAATGATCTATCGATTTTTTCTTTCATCGATTGTTTAATCGAATTTTCTCGAAGCTGCTCACATTATGGACGATTCCGTTTATCTATACAAATTGCAAGGACGATTCGTGACAAACGCGATCGCTTTCGATGTTGTTCCTGATTCTAACACACATTTCCAGCCACGAAAATCGAGTGAATCTAATTTGAATGGCAGCACTACGAATTCGCAATTAGAATTGGCTGATTTAGAATATTGTCCGCGTGTATAAACACGCTCAGTCGATTTCTCATTTGTTTTCGAATATGTGAAAATATGCCATGCTATTGTATTTCGAATAATTTTCGTTCTGAAATATTGAAGCCATAGATTTTCTAGAAATATTTTTATTGCAATCTTTTTTACTGTAATTAGATGAATTATATATGGAAAAATATGTATTCAAATGTTGAATGCAATTATGGATTAGAAAAGAGTTTGTAATGGGATAGCTTGTTTTTCAAATGTTTTAAATTCAATAAACATTTGAAAAACAAGCCGAGAAGATATTCTTTTTCAATTATTTAAAATATCGACTATGTTAGTTATGAGATATATGTTAATTTGATCAAGAAGTGCATCTCGCAAATTATTAAATTCGCGTGAAAAGAAAAATTCAATTTTATTAAATATTTAAATGATGAAATAGAACTGGATTAAAATATGGTTGTTTTTTGAAGTATATAACAATAAGATATAATCAGTATATAATAATAAGATAAAATAATCTCGATATTAATTTGTTAATGATAGAATCAATTCTTATTTTGAGCCGACTTTTACAGCTTTATCCCTTTATTCAGAACTACAGAAGCGCAATCTATTTCTAGACCTTCCGTGATCTCAGTATCTCAAAAGTTTTCAGCTCTAATGAGATCCATATAATTTAAAAAAGTTGATCAATTGAATCGTGCAATCATGTTGTTCGGACTATCATTGTCCTTTAATTATTTAATTCGATTTATTACGTTGCAGATTTTGTGAGAATAATTTGTTCGTCAATTTTAAGAATATATTTATTTCGCATTTTGCAAAACGATCAATACATATTTATCTTCTATAAATCACTTTCAGTTTTTTTTTTTTCTATAGATAAATTTTAGTTTTTTGAAGTTGCTTTTAATAGATATTCAAAGTTGGAATTCTGAATTTTGAAACATTCATTATTCGAGTACAATTTTCTTTAATCGTTTCTAATAATCAGCACTTTCTTTCCTTAAATCAAACTTCATTCAAAACTCTCTATTCAATAACGATTTGAAGCAACTATATAAAATTTTCTTTCATCAATCTCAAGGATCGTCACTTTCGTTTTTGTTTTAGAAATTTGGCTTCGTTAAAAAAAAATTGAATTTCGATATTTCGAAACACTTTTTCTTCCCCTTTTCAAAAATCTAATTTCATACTAGAGATTAATCTCTCTGAGTGATGAAAAAATCCAATTTACAAACATTATCGTTCATTCGTCTCGACATAACTCTACGCATTCACTTTTGTAATAGAAACGCGCAAAACTCGTCTCTGCTATTTTCGTTAATTATTCGGATATCCAACTAATTTCGGCCGTGGCCACCGCGCAGAGAATCCGTGCACGTATACACATGTGCGTGCGTCCGTGGCCTGGCATAATCAAAACATTTTCCTCGCCTTCGGGTTGAATAATTCAACATTTCTTCCATGCCTGATATTGCTTCACGATCGCCTTTTATCGGCTATAGATTTTGCATCGAACCATTTCAGACGAAAAAAGAGGGAAAAATAAGAAAAAGATATAGAGGTATTAAACTTTTCCACGATTCCTAACTTTTATTTCCCTAACCAGAGATTTGCCGTTTACTTGATTCGTTGGTTCATGATTAATCCCTTTATTCTTCTTTTCAACGATGAACTTCGTCATTTTCCTTTTGTTATGCGATGAAAGTATCCGATTAAAATAACGTTTATTCTGAAATAAGAATAATTGTTAACGTGTCTGATGATTTTATTTGAACTTGGAACAAAATTTTTGAAATAAAGTATTATTAGGTGAATAAGAAAGTTCTATTTTTTTTTTTTTTATGAAAAATATATAAAATAGAGAATCATTTATTACACTTGTGCAATGTTGTTTCATATAATAACTGCAAATAATCGTCGAGACATAAAATTATTTAAAATTGTTAAAATTATTTCTTTTTTGCGTATACTTACTTGTGTTTCGATTACAATGAATTCAGAAAACATTTTTGATTCGATTCTCATTCTCTTAACATTTTCAATTCAGATTATTATACGTAACTCTTGTTAAATCATGGATACACATCTTCGAAACTAAAAATATCTCAATAGAATCTTATCGTGTCGAGAGTTTTAAGATCGTCGAATGATCCGAAGTTAAGCGAAAATCTTGGAAACCTTTGGTTTATTTTTTTCAACATTTAAAAGGCGGGAGAGACTTGAGAATTTACGACGGTGGCCTTTCTTTCTGTCTCTCTTCCTCTGGTGATTTATCACGAAGGGTGTAGAAGCGTTTCTCTGTGCGTCACGCTACAACTCGAAATATATGTGGTTTCGACGCGTGATAAAGTGTCGCGTGTTGAGAATTTATTAAAAAATATGGGGAAAGAGAAAAAGAAGAGGAAAATAGTAAAAAGAAAAGAAACATACGTTAAACATACGATTGATGTAACGGTATAGCACAATTTTTCTTGTTTCTAATAATTGCATTAGATTATAAAATTCTTTGATATCGACTGATTTATTTATTTACTTAATAAGCATAAATTATATGTATCTAACATTTTTTTTATGCCAGAGACACGAAGTACATAAACTTTTTGTTTAAATAAAAATGGAATCTTTTTTTTATAACTTGACTCCAAGCTACAACTATAAAACGAAGTTTTATAAAAATTGAATTATAAAGTGAATAATAATACTTAAAAATCTTGATTTCGATAATTTTCTTATAACTCTTACGTATAAACTTTTGTGATAAGTTATCGAATTTGAGAATGATGAAAGATTAAAGTGAATATACAGAAATCGAAATTTATACAAATTTGTATAGTAATTCTTATTAAACAAAATTTACAATTGTAATTTTTTGAGTTATATCGAGTCTCGTTAACGATTGAAAGCAGATAAAAACCATTATTTTGCGAAATAATCTTGAAATCGCGTTACCGTGTAGGTTTAAGGAGATTTTAATGTAACGCATTGGAGATATAAGCGGTAAAATAAATAGAAATGGAACAGATTTTCTGTGTAAGATACGCCACGCCAGAAAATTCTTTAGACATTTTACCTGATGCGCTCCCTAAGACTTTTGTTATTCCTCTAGTTCTGTTATTCCTTATAGTCTTCCTCTAGAAACTTTCCTCTAAACTCCACTTTGGCGACATAGATTAGTA